CTACATGACAAAGTGAACTAAACGGCACCCTGGCCGCATAATCAGACTCGCCCATTTCGAGCAAGACTGCAGGCAAAGTACACTAAACGTTTATGTGACCACGCACACCCACACTCGCCGATTAAGAGCAAGGTTGCTGGCAAAGTGAATTAAACGATAATGCCACCACATAACCAGACTCATCGGCTAAGAGTGAGGCTGCTGGCGGAACGAAATAAACGGCTCCATAACCACGCTACCAAACCCGCTGATTAATCGGAGTGTTCCACATTTATATTTTTTTTTAGTGAAATAGGGATCTTGAAAACCTTTCGGTGCTGTTCACCACCCTGCCCTTCTTAAGAACTAGGCTCGCTTTTCAGAGAGACGCACGGTAAGCATTGTGTGAGGGTCTTGGACGCTATACGGACGCTTCGCAAGCATTGTGTAAGCATTATGTGCAAGCAAAGCCTGATTGGACGAGTGGGAAGACGCTTGCCTGGCATGGTTTTCAAGGCCGGATACTCCACTGTCAGCCTGAGGGCCTTGCACGGTGACCAGGTACCCCTGAGTCGACCAGGATCTGTGTGTCGGTCAGACATCACCAATAACGCGCAGTCGACTCCGCACCAGTATGGGCCTGAGGTCATATTCCACAAGCAGAGACGCAGCCCGAGCCAGTGATTTACATTGGTCGGGGCCCCAGCGTCTCTCAGTGCCCCAAAAGGGCGCCTAAAATGGGGCCCTGTTGACAAGGGGTCCCCGGTCGGCCAGAGACAATACTCGAAGAGGCCCGAAAAGATAGGAAGGCACACCGGAACCGACGGGGCGTATGCTATTTTTGCGTCTTTGAGAATGTCCTCTGGACAGATTTACAGTTATAGCAACAACAAAAATAGAGATTATTCCCGTACTCTTCCAGTTCCCTCATCACATTCCAGCACCTCTTCGCGGTGCTGTTATTGCAAACCCGCGATTACCATCAATCTACAAGTCGCACCGGTGAAATCGACGCCCGGACTTGAACGTTGAACATTTCCAAACGTGGTTTGGCCATGTTCATGCAAGTTGTTTACCCATTTCGATCTACGATCACATTCGCGGGGTTTCTTACACCTCTGTAGAACCCAGAGAAAAATGCTGACGAAGCTGCTGAGCTCTATCGGTTTCAAGAGTCCACTGGATCACATAGCAAAATGAAGAGCGCCGGCGATTTTCTTCGTGCAAGCGTTTAAAGCGCGCTTTCTTCAGTTTGACGACGAAATTCTGGCAGGATTTACTTCCCACAGCTTCTGGCCGCTAAAAACAATTATGGAAGGAAAACATGAAAAATAGTACAGAAAAACATGCTCTCTGACCTGCGTGATGGACCATATCGCACCATTTCTTGGGGAGGGGGGTCACTGTTTCACCGTGATTGCACCCTTTGTCAACCCTGTGCCCCCTCACCTGCCAAGGCTCTGGCTGCGCGCACGCTGACCTATAAACCAAGTCGCCACACCGACGACGAGCAGCAACCACGGTTTTTAAAAAAAATTAAAACAACAGGTAGCCGTCTGTTGCCGCGACGATAAACAAATGTCGCTTTCGAGTCGGCGTATATTTTGAATCGCCAGCAGGTTGATGCCTCAATCCCATGCAGTGGATGACTTGACTTAATGAAGATCACTTGGTCCGCCGTGCGTGTGCAATATTCTTCAACGGACTCGCCAAACAAAACCGAGTTCCCATCTCCCCAGGAGCGCTGCAAAAACAACATGGGCTTAATTACACACGCGTGTGATGGTGGTAAAGGCAACAAGGTGGTGACGAACTGCCCTGCATGATTCCAATGATGCAACACCCGGCTGAGCCACGGATGCGTTCAGAGCCGTCTCCGCACTCAGTGTGAATAAAACAGTACACAAAACACAACAAGCATGGACCGGCTACTCTCCACGTGACATGTCAACGAATTATGGCAAGATAAACAAATGCTGTGTGCGGGATTGTGGGCATGGTAAAGATAATTTCCCATACGCTGGTCTCTACCAGGTGAGTGATCATGTTAAGTCGATTAACATACCTTACAACCATCAAATCATGTGATGACATCTCGTAATACGTCAATATGATCAAAGAGCCTCAACACCGCCAATCAGAAAAACAACGCAGTTTCTCGAATTAAAAATTCAGTTACTCGCAACACAAATTAAAGTTGTAATGGACGCAAAAAATTACGATTCATTTGGTTGAATACTGAACACCAAAGCTTCCAGACCTTGACCTTAAGACCACATCACCTTATGTAACAAGCAACAGTCAAGTCAGTATTGATTGTTTGTATTTAAGCACGACTTCGGTTTCCTGACCGATCCATCGCACACGCGCGTCAAAAATAAGCTGTAATACAAATCTGAAGCACTTGGACGTCTCCGAGTGACCCAAACTTAAAATTATTCCGCGATATAAAATTGTCATAATAATGTAGATACCTCATCTCCTAGGAACAATAAACATCCCGTCCAAAATCCAAACCAGAGAAACACGGATCAAATTTGAGCGGGACGAAGCGGATGGCAGTCAAGCCCAGCACTTGGCTAATGACGTCATATCTTCGTGACCTAAACCACCTATGTGAATTATGATACCATGTGTTCAAAAGAATACTTTAATAGGTGTCCAAATATTAGACATTCACTGGGAATACAAAAAAGCATCTCTCGGACATAAGTGAAGAAAAACCAGATACACATACATTCCACAAAGGGTCGCGAGTCGAGTCATGGTTCAGTGATTCCAGAAATCGATATGAGAGAGCTATTTGAGCGAGTTTTAAAGGTGTTAGTCCAGGGGAGGAGGTTATCCTCGTCTCGTAAAACTCGTCGAGAAGAGCTTTCACTGAGCCCCAAGCTCTCCCAAGGAAACCCTTACTGCACCTTTGGTGAGTTTCCTGCCGTGGCCTCACCTAGACGTATATGCCGACTGTGAGTGCCAGGAACACGGTGCCGACTCCCATGAAGAGGGCGGCGATCACGGCCAGCGCTCAGCTCCTTCACCAGGTCCCGGGTCAGCTTGGTGCTGGTGACCTGGGACAGGTCATGGCACGTCCCGTCAGGCGCCTCGCGCGACATGCCGCACAACGGCGGATATGGTAACCGGACAAAAGTACGCACACCAGACATATGTCACGGCAGCTGTTCGCAACCGCACATGATCGAAACCACTCATGTACGCACCGCCTTACTCGTACCGCAGAGGCTCGCAAGCGCAAATGTTCATGATCGCCATGACGTATTGCAATGCTCGCACCGCAGAGATTTGTAACCACACGTGTTCGAAGCCCACATGTTCGCACCGCCATTGTTTCGGGGATGCCAATGTCGTCATGGCAATCGTTCGAACCGCAAATGTTCGTAGAAAGGATGATCGCAGACGCAAATGTGATGTGCACGTACGCACGCAAGT